CGCGGCGCCTCCACCTCCTGCTCCGGCAGCGCCGCCAGCGCGGGGGGTCCTCGGGGAGGGATTTCTTCTCTGAGAGTTAATACATCCTTTCTATGAGAGAAAGACAAGAAAAAAAAAAAGGAAAAAAAGAAGAAGGTGGTTGATGTGCAGCCTGTGCCAGGGCGCTGCTTGCTCAGCACGCGCGTCTGAAGGGCTGCTCTTCCCCGACTCGGGACCGCTGCAGCTCCGGGCTTGCGGAGCAGCCTGGTGCGGGCGCTGAGCTGCTGCTGACGGCGCCGGCAGCCGCCCGGCCCGGCCCGTTAACCCAGCTCCAGCCCCTCCAACTTCGGCCCTTGCTTAACTCCGAGCCAAATTCAGCACACCGGTACTCAATCCCCTCTGCAGCTTTTTCCCTGACAAGCACGTCGCCAACTCCACTTAGCCTCACATTAGGCCTTGAATAAACATTTCAGCGGTTATTTTTAAAAATAAGGATTTTTGAGAACCTTTAGCTCAATGCAATATGTAGAAATGTTAAATACTTTGGCAAGTTCTTCCCTACAGGGTTCATGTTCCTCTTCCTTTAGGCAATAAAGTGGCTGTGGGAATCGCCGAGGACAACAGCTCACCACGTGCAATGCTCTTTTTCCATGGCTCTGCCCTTTTCGGGAACGTTCTCGAGGAGGAAATGACCTTGGGAGAAATGCTGGCTCCAGGGAAGCCAAAGAGAGATTCGACATTGAGCTCATGGGCTACAGCCCCATCGCTCCTGTGTGCTCCTCTGGTGGGTGCAGGGCATGGAGAGAGGCTGATCCTGCCCCAGCGCTGGGCCAGCTCTGTCCCTGTCCCGGATGGATAACACAAAACCAGAAAGAGATGGAAAGGAACCCGGATGGCGAGGAGGTTCGAGATGTGGGTCAGGAGGCATTGATGGAAGACAGCGGGATGGGAAGGGAGATCAAGTCAGTGCGGCTGTTTCTGCAGAGCCGTCCTCCCCTGATGTGCTGGGGCAAGAACAGTCCTGGATACAGCTCCGGGCTGAGCTGCCCGTTCCTGCACCTGGACTTACCTGCCCCGTGCCTACGAGCCAGCAGCGAGTGCCCTGCCAGGCTGCCTGCCACATGCTTACGGACCAGCAAGGGTGGCAGAGACACAGAGGGGACACGGAGGTGACCTCCTGTGGACGCTCATGCCGAGAGCATGGGGAGCAGGTCTGAGCACCCACACTGCCCTGAGGGGCTGCTGCGCTGGTGTGCAGGAGGGCTGACCGCCGCCACGTCCCCTTCCTAGGGCTTGGGGGCACACGCGTGTTCTGTGGTTTGCAGCTGGACTGACTCCGTGGAAGCACCGCCGAGAGCTCCCAGGGTTTTACCAGGGAGGAGAGAGCAGAAGTGTTCCAATCTCCTTAGACACGACACTGTACCGAGGAATCCAGGTCTAGGGCATCTCCATGCACAGAAGCAGGTCCCCTCCTCTCCTGAGGAGCATGGGGAGCGGGTCTGAGCCCCTGCGCTGCCCTGAGGGGCCAGCGGGGCTGACGGCGCAGGACACAGCTGCTGCACTGCTGTGCAGGAGGGCTGACCGCCGCCACGTCCCCTTCCTAGGGCTTGGGGGCATACGCGTGTTCCGTGGTTTGCAGCTGGACTGACTTTGTGGAAGCACCGCCGAGAGCTCCCAGGGTTTTGCCAGGGAGGAGAGAGCAGAAGTGTTCCAATCTCCTTAGACACGACACTGTACCGACGAATCCAGGTCTAGGGCATCTCCATGCACAGAAGCAGGTCCCCTCCTCTCCTGAGCTGCTCCGAGCCTGAAATCACGGCGGGTTTTGGCGCCTGCCTCCCTGCGCCCCGGGCAGCTCTTTCCTGCATTCCCCATCCGCAGCCGGGCAGCAGCCATCGCGCCTTGGCAGGTGCCGTGTTTGTTTTAGCAAACAGGGAAGATGCAGACACGGCTCCTGAAGAGGAAATGCAGAGCTGAGAGCCAACCCGGGAGCCGCAGAGCGGATCCCGCCAGCCCACGGCGGCACGCGGCCTGCAGAGCCCGGCACCCACGGCGGCCTCGGGCGGCCCCGCA